ATTAGATTTCCCTGGTGATTTTATACATGCATTATGTCCCATTAAAGTATCGCTTATCTTTTCTTTTTTGGAGGTAAGTCTTGTTAATTCGATATAACTACCAGATGGTTGCTGAGTAGCAATACTTGCTTCAAGAATTACTTTGAATCAGCTACATCTAAAATGATAAATAAATAAATGAACCTCTCATTGGGACTTGTGCCTATTACATCGATCGGTGATATGTGAGGAAAGGGGACAAGTGAGCCACAATCCAGAACATTTTGTAATAATGTGGGACAGTGGATTTCAACATCCCATACTGTTGGGACTGCATTTATTTTCTTACTCTCCATTTCTCAGCACAATTCTGTGCTGGATGTCTTGATTTATCTGAGGAAGATTACCAGCAGTAGATCAGCTATGCAGATATGGTGTTTATTTGCTGTGGTTCAGTACAGGCTATAGGATGTCAACTTGATGAGAACTGTGGTAGCTTATTAGAGAGAAATATGTGCTGCCAGTTGTACCCAACTGTAACATTACTCAGCTGATATCTGCATTTGCTTTTGCTAAAATAATGTCATTATAATAGCATATACAAACATGCTTGTCAGATGTACTTTTAATAATTAGTAGAAAGCACTGAAAAGGATGCGGTTAAGTCATAGCTTTGATCGAGAAAGACTGTGGCGCAGTGAGATAAGAACCTCCCTTGAGTACCAGAAGTGCCAGGTTAAGTCATAGCTGCATTAATGAGGAGGATATTCTATATTAACATTATTATTATATTACTATTGACTAAAGTAATAATCCTTATAAATCATAATTCCATTTAGTTTGCCTAATATATTGTATTCAAATACTTTTATTTATCCGATGTTGGAGAGTTTAATAATTTCCCAAAGACAGATTAAATTGAGCAAATTAGAACATGTGTTAAACATAATTATCATCAACCAAACCTTTTTAAGAAATTTGAAAGTGAGATATTTTTATTGAATTTTAGCACCCTGACTAGTTTTCACAAATATTTTAAGAGCAGGAGCAGGTGAAAGGTTTCTTAACACTTGCTATATGTGGTTATTCTTCCAATAACAGACCTTAACTTGAAGTTGGCACAGTGCTTTTAGTATACCTGCAGAGGAGTCTAATAATGCCTAATTTGAGTGAGGTTAAAAGAGAGAGAGAGAGAGAGACGGAGAGAAGGGGGAACGAGGAGGGAACAATTTTCCATAACTACGCTGCTAAGTAGCCCAGTCGTAATTCACAGTGACCCAGGATAGCTGCATTCATCCTGCTTAATTACGAAGCTGCAGTCATAAAATGGCTTTTTGCAGAACTGTGTTGTTTGTGTTTGTGTGCCCCTGTGATTTTCTCACCATGTGAGGGCCTATTTTGGCTCAAAGCCATCCTTAAGAGGATCCAGTACTGTGCAAGTCTTAAACCACCTTGCATTTCTTTATAGTTTTCTTGCAAGAAGCCAGATTTTTTGTAAAAAAAAAAAAAAAAAAAAAAGAAGAATTATGTGGTTTTGAGCAATAGTTGTGCAGGAAAAATCTTCTCTGTGTGCACCCAACTCAAGGGATAAACCAATTCTGCGTCTACACATAACAGATTTGACATTTTTAGTACAAAACTTATTAGAAATGACAAATAGGGCATAGTTTGACGGATATAATGAATACTTTTGCAATGAAAAGGGAATTCGAAAAGAGACGTTAGCCAAAAACTTGGCACACCTCAGCATTGTGTGCAATATGCCCTTAAAATATTTGAGGAAACTTTTGAGCAGCTACTTCTATCAATAAATGAATCATCTTAATCTTCATCAATAGTAATAATGTTTTTATAGTCTTAATAATAATTTGAGAAATAGCTAATTGGGGTGAGTGATAGTAGATAAACAGTTACGTCTAACTGGCTGTCCCCCTACTCATGTTAAGGTTAACATGTGTACCAGCCAGGTTAACATTGAGGGAAACTCTTTAATATTTAATTGTTATTGAATCAGAACCTTTACTGACCTCTCGAAGTTCTTCATAAAGACTGGGTGGTCAGTGCTTCCCAACCCTGAACCAAGACACATATTTCATATTAGAAAAGTCACATGGCACACCACCAAATGTAATTTCTTCTGTCTTACTGGCAGTTGGCATTGGCAACCCTTTTAATTAGAGCAGGTAGTTGCACTGCCCTCTAGTGGAAGAGAATGTAATTGTTCTGCCCGTTACGCACGCCGATCACTAATCAGATTGAACCAGATAATCTTCCACGGCACACCTGTCTATACTATCTACAGAACTAAAAAAATTACCTAGTAATGTTGCTTTCTCACAATTTGGTGTGAAAAGGTACTGTATGCGTTGGTACTGTTGACATCTCTAAATATATATATATGGATTATTTTCTGTTATTGAACAGTTTAGAAACACACAGTCCAATGAATTCCTTTGATCATATCAGTCGATCGGTGGATAAGTAAGAGATCATAATGTGCATCTACGTCATTCTGTATATTTTTAATAACATTAAGAAAACACTTCTTAATCAAGGTGATTTTTTTGTTTGTATGTAAAAAAAAAATCTACTTATTTAAATCTACTCTATCCCACATGAGCATTTATCTTTGTAAATTCTGCTCTGCTGTATTTTGTTATCACTGCTGTGATCTTTAATTTAAATGTCATCATTGCACCTCTGTAAGATTGCGTGTGCCACAGTAAAAGAGGTCTCCTCGCAGTGCATCTCCTTGTGTACTACTGTGTTATGGTTGCCAGCCAAGAACAAAAGTGCTCTTGCCACAGTCCCTTCCCTGCAGGAAACACTCACCTGTAGCTTTTTGTGACAACAAACGCTGCAGCAGCTAGCGAAGCAGTTCAAGGAACACTGTTCTCTGTGAATGTTTGTGGCCTCTGAAAACGTCTTATTTGAAGTGAAATTTCTAGCCTCTTGTCTGAATTTTCTCAATAACTCTGAAGTTGCCAGTTTGGGTGAAAAATTCCCACTGTCACCCTGCTGGGTTAGTTTTATTTCTTTTTATTCTGGAGTATATTTGTAATTTCTGTAATGGTTTGAAGTGACTCCTACAGACAAAATCACTCAACAAGATATAGAGGTTGCACTTACAGTAAACCTCTGCACAGGTGTAAATACAGCCAATTACATCTCTGTTACAACATGATCTTAGATAACAGATATGAGTTTTGTGCATCTTTATGTTACTGTACCATGAAACATAAATATTATTTTAAAAAAATATAACTATTAGAGCAGATGAAGCAAGTAAGGTACGCCCAGACCTAAAACCAGTCTGTCAGGATTAGTGTCGTGGATGAGAGAAGGAGGACCCAAATGCTGGACTCACAGGTCGGTAGGTGAAGGTTGGTGTTTATTGTCGACGGAGTGAACAAACAGAACAGGAGTAGGAAAGGGCTGGCTGGCTGGCTGGACGACTGACTGACTGACTGACTGACTGAATGAATGAAGGACTGACTGACTGACTGAAAGACTGAATGGCTAGCTGACTGAACGCAGGCAGAAACGACAACATAACATCAATGACACGACAAGGGCTGAAGGGAAGAGAGGGCTTAAATACATGACTAACAATGACAACGATTGGAGACAGGTGAGTGAACAGCTGAACATAATGAACTAATGATAAATGGGAAGAGGACTGAACATAATGCACACAGACCAAGGCTAACACAATAAAACTGGAAGTGGAACAGGCATTAGATAAACAGTGAACGTGAACTGAAAATACTGGGTCAACGACCCAGAAACCCTGACACAGTAAAGGCTGGAAGTATAGATGTCATTTCTGTCTTTTTTTTGTACCTTTGTTTGCTCATGAATCAGAAATCACAACCCACTCACTGGACAAATTGCCGTTTAGATTTTCTCTTCTCTTCTTTGGTTCAACAGTGAAGTTGGAGTATCTTTTTTTATGATCTAAAACCCTGCCCTAAGTGGTTCTAAAGCTTTTGCAGTAATTGTATGCATATTTCATAATGAGCAAACTGCTTAATAGTGGTTCATTGTTGAAATTCAGCAAACACCCTTAGTGTCTCCAAAAAAAAACCTCACCCACCCACACACACAAATTTGAAGATGGATGTTCATTTAGTGCTGGCGTGAAATGGTGAACTGATGAAGAGTTGCCTTGGTGACTTTGGTCCTGAAACAATCACAGAATCTATTAAATTGGCTTGGTGTGAGCATTTTCTATGAGTGATTTAATTATTGTCTCCACAGACCTTTTCTGGGTGCCTTTGAGTTTTCAAATAATCCACCTTGGCTTTTTCTGAGTTAAATAAACATGTTTTTTTAAAATAGTGTAACTCTAATCATTTAATGCACCATTTTTGTAATAAATTCATGCTGCATACAAGTATAAAACAGTGTTTCAAATCCAACTGCACAGTAACCCTTTTTATTAGGAGAGATGGGCTCCAGCAAGGACAAGAACATTTTTGGCGAATGAATAATAAATTCCATCTACAGTGTACATTAAAATGTCGGTTTCTCACTACCTGCAATGCCCCCTAATTGGCTGACCAATTAGTTTGCCATATTTATGTGTATTTATGAATTGTTTTGTTTAACCTTGGATTCGTGTACCTAATATATTGATTTATGATCTTCCCAGTGACAGCTGATGAGTTGGAAATCACTTTTCCTTGTTTTGTTCTTCACGAGTTATTTTTAATCCAGGTGCACGTTGCTTAAGGCACTTTTCCTGGTGTGCAGAATTCTTAATGAAATGGAAAACTATAGGACGTGCTCTGTATGCGATGATGCAAATGATCCTTCCTGCCACTCCGAAAGTCTTACAAAGTTCCCAACGAGAGCATGTGAACGAGGAAGAAAAAAAACATGTGCAGACACATTTTTGATATCAGACACCAAAAGCAAAATATAAGATACATTGAACCTGAGCAAGTCAGTGAATATACAGTTTGACTTTAAAGTGAGGCTGTGAGGGTTTCTTAAGTTGTGTGTTTGCTTCTCTTCAGGTGAACACAGCCATGCATGAAGCTAAGCTGGTAGAGGAGTGTGATGAGCTGGTGGAGATCATTCGCCAGAGAAAACAGGTCATCGCCGTGAAGATCAAAGAATCCAAGGTAAAGTATTATATTCAACGAAATTTTTTTAAGCGTCTTTTAAGTGCAGTCTGAAATATTCAAATTCAGGTACAATCACAAATGTGGCACTGACTGATTTTTTTTTAACCTTTAAGACACAAAAAAACAAAGCTAACAGACAACAATATTGGCATTTTATTAACTTACAGGGAACCTACTATGGTTCCCTGTAAGTTAATAAAAAATAAATAAAAGGTCACTCATCCAAATGACTTCTTCACTTATCTGAAGAAGTCATGAAGGAAGGAAGTCACTTGGATGAGTGACAAAACATTTCTCCCACTGAAAATGCTAAATCCAGATGAACATGCTATGGGCCATTCAGTCCTTATACGACCGTTGCAAGAGCTTGGTCCGTACAGCCGGCAATAAGTCGGACTTGATCCTGGTGGGTGATGGGCTACGCCGCGGCTGCCCTTTGTCACCGATTCTGTTCATAATTTTTATGGACAGAATTTCTAGGCGTAGCCAAATTAACATAATCAACTATTGGAATTTTTTTTCCTGAATGCAAGTAGTTGCAGTTACCAGCGGATGAGCGTGCAATACCTTCAATCTCTTGGCGACCACGTTTCATCACAAAGCAATTGCCCAGGTCACCTCAAGAAAGGCAACCTGCCTCCAAACACTCACGGCCCAACTTAGACTGACTGCAGTTACTCTCAGATTGGTCAAGGTTTGCAAATAATCGCTGTCTAATTTAGAAATTCAGAGAGGTTGCCATGATATTGTAATCAGTCTGAGTCAGTCTGTGCCAATGAGCGTAACTCATCCTGGGATGTGTCTCTTTACGATAGGGAACTTGACTCAACTGGTTGCCAAGTGACTGTAATCTGGTTATATATAATAACAAGATTCCTGAGCATCTATCCCATTTTGCAGTTAAACTGCTGTCCTGAAAGAACTACAATATTCACTTATTTAGAGTATATTTTCAATATATGTTTTACATCTATGAGGTTCTGACTGGACTACGAGTGTAAGTAGTTAATATGAATTTCAGTATATGTAGACAGCAACAGATTTCTGGCTTTCCAAAATGTATTTAATAAGCTAACCCTGACTCTTCACTTCAGAGTTAACGAGACTGCAAGTTCACTGCACACAGTCACAAGAAATCATAAGAGTTTAAAGGGCTTGTGACATTAAAGGGAGACACTCGAGGAACTGAGGGGCTGCGCCAAGGCCTAGTATAAGATAACTTAAGATAAATATGGATTATTTTGAACTGTGAATCATGCATAGCCACAGTTGCAGAGTCCAAGAATTGAAAAGAAATGTAAATGACCACAACAGGTCCCAATAGATTTAATCAGTCAGAGCAAGATTATCATCCAGATGTTGTATTTTTAGTTACTGTTGAGTGTAAAGCTGAATATTGTTTAAACTCCTGAGATAAGATCTATAGTTAATTAACTGAATGTCTGCTGAGGCAGGCAGAATGTATATTTTCCTAATAAAAAAAAAAACTAAACAAGATCTTTTGTTGTAAATGATGTTGCTGGGAGTTGTTAAGGAACCCCAGGCGGTGTATAAGCGTATCTCTAAAGCTGGGCTTACACTGTGCGATTTTTGGCCCATTTTGAGCCGATTTTTCAGTCGTGCAACCGTTTTGGGGATCGGCCCGATTTTGGCCTTCATCGTGCGTCGTGCATCGTGTAGTATACGTGGGGTAACGAGAAGCGATTAACACCTCACGACCAGCTCCCGATCATCAATCGCTTGGTAGTCACGACCATCGTGAGGGTGTCACCGCAGCTTCTCACACTGCGCACGTGCAAACACATAAAGGTCAGTGAAAAAGACGGAGTAGTACGGCAGTACAGCATGTGATCTGGACGCAAGCGATGGAGGCACTTGTAGAATTTTGGAAAGCTCGGATGAGCTTTGGATAGCTCATCCGAGCCTTTTCCATGTGGCCTCACAAAATCATCACAACCACAACAACCGTAAAAATAGTTGGATTTACATTGCTGCTCAATCACAGCTGCCTGATCAGTGTTTTTCATTAGCAATTTAGCAAAGTTGATGGCGGTGGTGTGTCTGTGTGAGTGAAAGACAGAGAGGGAGAGCGAGCGACAGATTACCTTCATTTTTATGGACGCACAGTTTGAGCACTCGGGTCGCATCAGAGCATCGGGCCGTATAGTGTGAGACCCTGCATCGTGACCTTAGAACTTCTAACCCCTGCAAATCAATCGTACAGTTTGAGCAGAAGCTGAATAACACGACTGAAAAAAATCGCACAGTGTATGCCCAGCTTTAAGTGTACCGTACAACCAAAACGAGTTATAGATGGACGATCTTCTGCGTGTGTCATTAACTGAATCAGTCCAAGATTAGACGCATTTTTATTCATATTACATCGTTTCATTCAGTTTCCAGCAGTTCATATTTCAAAAACTTGTGTCGCCTTGCCATCTAAAGTAAGGCAATAAGCCCGACCCACCATCACTTTGCAGAAGCGAATGAATATGAAAGCAACGATGCCGTGGACAGAATATATTTGTGTGGTTGTCTGCTTGTTTACCCAAATATACACCACATGCAGGCTTTACGAGAAATGAAAAGCACGGAGGATAAAAAAAAAGAGAGCAATAACAGTCTCTCCTCATATTTAGGCAGTCAACATGAATGTGTGAGGAAAGAATTTAAAATGGCAGGAAAGACTGTTGTGAACCTCCTGCTGCTGTTTTAGAAAGTCCACAACTAACTGCACAGACAGATACACATTTGGCTCTGTGTGTGCGCGTGTGTGCATGTGTGTGTGTGTGTGTGTGTACTCATGCCCATGTGTATATGGGTGGTTGTCCCGTCTCTGACCATGAATAACCCTTCCAGAGGTGAAATTTTAAGTGCTTCTGAAGGATCCAAGGTGGCAGAGGAGCTTCATAGAGAAATTTCCCAACAGTTAACACAAAGACTAAAATAGGTTTGTGTGTGTGTGAGACAGAGGAGTGTGTCGACAATGAATGCAGACAAAGAGCAAGGTTTGTTCTCCTGAGAGTCTGTGCCTGTAAAAGGCTCTCCAGCTGAAGGTACAGCGGTCAAATGTAGGAAGCCTGTATGCATCACTTTGAAAGGTCAAGGAAGATGAATCAAATGCGCCTTGACTAATTCAAATGTGTAGAAGAGAGCAAAGGATAAGATGAATATTGATATTTTACACAGCGACATTGCTACAAAAACACGGCTCATATTATACATTTTATGAGCAAAGTACTGAGATGGCTTCCTGTTGAGGACAGTCTCATAAAGGAAAGTGTTCAGAGGTGACTCTGCAACAGAATAACCGGATTATACAGGCTTGATCATGGTGAGCAAGGTGCTCCCATTCTCTCTCTTACTTCTTCATAATGAGGTCTGTATCTTGCAGAGGAGACTCAGCAGTCATACTTAATCTCTCCCAGCTCACACACACGCACATAACAAAAAACAACAAAAAAAACCAGACTATTCCCACGGCCGGGTTTCTGTTTGTGTGTTTTTGTCATATGACTTCCTGTCTTCCAAGCATCTATTCTGCCGCTTTTCCGTCATCTTTTCTTGAAAACTGTTCAAACTCCAAGGATTAACAATGCAAAACTTTTTTAGTGTTACATACTAGCTTTTTTTTAAACACAATTTTTTTTTAACAATCTCATGGGTCATTTGAACTTCATTTTAAAAGCTTATGCCTGGTTGGGACTCATCATAAAAACAACAGCATTACTGTTGTTGGCACCACTTAAACAACCTGTCTCTGTGTTTATGTGACAAGTGCCTCTTGTGAATGTGCAAATATAACATTTGTCTCTCAGAGCCAGGTCAGGGTGGATGGTCGGCCATACAAAGCCTTTGGCTTTGGCCTGTTTTCAGTGCTGTGGTTTTGTTTATTCTATTTCTTTAAAAGCAAATCAAGGCTGTAAAACTTTAAGGATCCACATCCAAACTCTAGTGACTGATGGCTGGTCATTACTTGTAAAATAGCGCTTCATGCTACCATGACTTACAGATGACATATATTCCCACAGCATCAGCTGGATTTATCTGTTGTTGAGATTCTGTCTTTTTGTATGCAGTCATATCCTGGTTTCATCTACTTTCAATGATAAACAGTATGAAAGACTGATGAATTTGTTTTAATGGCCACCAGGGGATAATACCTGTAGCTGCAAAAATACCTACAGAAGACTATTTAGTAATTTAACCATTATGTCACTGCTAAATGTTAGCTACAAAAATATGTTTTTCAATCAACTGGAGTGAGAGAAAACGTATTATGTTTATAAGCCATTAATAACACATTGCTTTGTTTTCATATCTATGATTGCACTTTAAGAAAATTCAGCCTCTGAAAAAGTTTTGACTCAGTAAAATGATAAAAAAACAACTTTAAATATTGTAGCATCACCTCATAAGTATTAAAATTATATTAGAAGGTTCAATTTCAGCTTTAAATCACAAACTGTAGGCTTCGCACAAAGTAAGAGACACACACACGAACACACACTCAGACCGTGCCATATTGTCCATTATTTTGCAGGAGAGAAGTAATCATCTCTAAAATTGTTGTTTGCGGCCTATGTTGCCAAATAACAATTCATCCTTTAAACCTCCTCTCGCTTCTCCTCTCTTTGCAGCCAACAACCTGCTCAAATGTCATTTTTAGTGACAAGAGATTATGGCGGACTTAGTGCAAGTGCAGCTGAGATGTCAGTTGAAAACTCCATTAAGACTCCAGCTTAACGAGACTTCTAAAGCAGCAGCAGCAGCTTTTCCAGCAGCGGGAAGGAAAGTGGACTTTAGATTCCATGAAAACTTTTGATGGTGACCTTTTAGCCATGTGAACTTTTTAGTTTTGTTTAGTGTTAGAGATTCAAATTAGCCTTAGCCTGAAATTATGATGCGTTCAGTGCATTAAGAGACTTAACTTCATTCTTTGCCTTTAGATTCACAGATGATTTATTTAATCATTTAACAGCACCCCACGCTAAAGCCGGTATTGAATTCTACAGTTGCCTCTTGCTGGCAGTCTCAGCGCTCACAAAGACCCTTTGTTTTGGTTTGTTTTGGTTTTTTACATCAAACTAAGTTCATTTCCAGGATCAGGATATGAGCAGCAATAAAGATAAACAGATTACTTTCATTTCAAATTTGCTCATCGTGGCTTTCCTTTTGCTCGGTGGGAAATGACATTAAAGCACACACGCTAACAAATTACAGTGAAAAGGACTTTACAAACCGTGCTCGTGTCTGAATCCTGACCCGACAACGTCACCTGACTTGATTCGCACAGCATGATGCTTTGTGATGAAAATGAAGCAAATTATTATGCGGTCCAAAATCAGCAGTTTCCTGTTTGTCTGCGCTGCTACATTTGAATCATGCGCACCACGTGAATGCACAGTAGATGCGCTTACAAGGTGCTCAAAAGACGAGCTCGATGTCTCTTTTGTTTGGTAAGGTAGGAGGGAAAGAACTGTGACTTTTACAGCCAGTAGTGTCTCATCCGTTTCCTGTCAGGCCTCGTTTCACAGTTTTTAAACATGGGTATGTATGCACAGACTGGTGCCCCTCATCCAGTGACCTAGAACTATCTGCCCTTTGATTGTGCAACATGATATTAAGGTCAATGTGAGCATAGATCCAATGGGCTCACTTAAACTCAGGCCCTCTGCTTCTTTTTCTCCTTTTTCCTGTTGGTGCATGTCTCAGATAACTGTGTCTACGACTGCGTTTCTGTGTGGACTCCATAGTTTTATTGTTTTTTGTGAGTAGATAAACATCCTTAATCATAAACTCTAATGTCATCTGCTAATTGCTTCTGCACGTTCAGATTCTTCTGTGGATATAACATTTGATCACGCTCGGTCGTATGTGTTTGAATATCTGCGTCTGTTTTTCTTTGGTTATAAAACTTCAGTTAACTCTGCAATATGGAAAGTTCACCGAGCAAAAATCATCTGAGAGAGTGCTGTCTTTGTGTCAATAATGTGTGCCAATGTGGGAAGCAAAGCACAATTGGCTTTTTTTAGTTACTGTCAAAATGAATTTAAAAAATCCACCAAACTGAAATTATTGGAGTGCAGAGGAGGGCTCTTTTTTTCTCTTTTTTTTTGGATATAGAGAGAGTTTTGAGATCCTTTTTTCCTGAATTTTTGCAGTGGAAGGCACACAAGTTGCCCTGAGCAAATAGAAAGTTATTTTCAGTCCCAGAAGATGAACATAGAAGATCAATAACACCAGTGAACTACTTTTGTCTAAGTTTTGGAGATGGGGATTAGAGACATAGAGTACGTGTCAAGATTCCCGCATAGTAAAAGAATGTCGCGGTGGCATTTGTGAATCTTTTACTAGACCAGGTGCTGGCAATGTCGTCTGCGTTCTCTTAGCTAAATGAAAAATTTAAAAGTCGAGTTATCGAGAAGGGCGATGTATTCCTTCAAGGCTCACAGTGTGCAAATGAAAACGAACCGCGTGTGTCGTAACGTGGCAACGTGTGCTTTGTTTGTTCCAGGTGATGAAACTGCGCAAGTTGGCTCAGCAGATTGCAAATTGTCGCCAGTGTTTGGAGCGCTCCAGTGCCCTGATCACACAGGCTGAGCAGAGCTTGAAGGAGAACGACCACGCCCGCTTCCTTCAGACTGCCAGAAATGTCGCCGAAAGGTAGGTGGAGCGGCGCACCGACTTATACCACCTGCCTGTTGCAACAATATGCTAATTTCACTTCATTATAGCTATTAATAGTCCAGACAAGTGGGAGGCTTTTGACAAGTCATCCTGACTGGGGTTTTTGTCTCGCTTTTTCCGTGTGGAGTTGTGTCATCTTGTAGCAGGCTGCATGATAGTTGTCAGAGTATTTGGCAATAAGTCTTTGACTCTTTAAATCCAAACCTCTGCCCTACAATGAGTTTTCGATTTTTACCTCTGTGAAATCCACTTGAAGGGGCTGCTGGTGAAATCAGCATTTTATCAAAAGTCTTTGGCTCTTGCGATCAATGTCAGGCCTCTGTTGAAAATCATCTATCATTTAAGGGCCAGCTCTGCAGTTTTCCTTTCAACCCTCGCACTTCTGTAATACCCTCGTTCCTTCGTCGTCCTCCTCCTGTAGATATTTTGCTCTGTCTCTTTCACAAAGACCTTTGCAAAAGCCACGGCTAGCACACTATCTTTTATTTGGCCTCGGCTCCACTTTTCTTTCAACCACCTGGCCGTGCACTTTATTGACTGACTGGTTTCTCTTTACTGAGGAACTGAAGTCTTAAGGACTAGTGCTGATCTGTCCTCCACTCTGCACTGCTGTGTAACCCTGCCAGCACTGTGGTTCTGGCTGGCTCCTGCCACAGACAGCTCACTGATGCTCAAAGCAGAAGTAGGCACAAGTTTCCACAAAGCTGTAGAGACTGTAGAGTAAGTCTGTCAGTGCATGTCTGCTTTGAGTGTGTTTTGACAACACCAAGGCAGACATTCTGAGTTGGATTGGATGTAGACATTTATTCTGAGACTATGAATTTCATGTTTGTATTCTTTTAAATTTTTTCCCCTCTCTTGCCCTTTTCCGTGTCACTAATAATGTCTACCACCTCTCTCCTCTTGCCATCTCACCTCACTTCTCTGCTCTTATTTTTCCATCTCTTCATCACCTCCCATCTTTTCCTGCTCCATCCCTCTTTTCCTCGTCACCTCATCGGACCTCTCATCCCTCCTTCTCTACCATTTACTTTGCTCGCCCCCGTGTCCTGACAACTCAAAAGGGTTGCAATGGCCACGGCTTCCTCTCAGGTGCTCATCCCAGATGTCAACTTGAACGAGGCGTTTGACAACTTTGCTCTTGACTTCTCCCGAGAGAAGAAGATTCTGGAAGGACTAGATTACCTAACAGGTAAATTCACATCCTGTCAAATCTGCAGTAGATATGTTAACAGTCGTCCTGCTGCTGTCTTGGTTTTGTTTTTGTTTTTTTGATTCACTGTTTCAAAGAACAAAACTGTTCTCTAAAAGTTAAGAAAACTATCCAGCCTTGTCACATAAGCCCTTTTCAGACATGGAAAACACAACTTTGCTGCCTTATTCAATTCAATTTTATTTATATAGTTCCAAATCAAAACAGCAGTCACCTCAAGGTACTTGTAAGGTAAAGACCCTACAAAGACATACAATACAAAGAAAACAGCGAAAACCCAGACAATCACATGACCCCCCCTATAAGCAAGTGTTTTGGTGAAAGTAGGAAGGAAAAACTCCCTTTTAACAGGAAGAAACCTCCTGCAGAGCCACGCTCAGGTAGGGGCAGCAATCTGGCGTGACTGGTTAGGGGTGAGGGGAGGAAGACAGGATAAAAACACACGTTTGTCCTGTTTGACATTCTGTAATTCACAAATGCGAGTTATCAGACTTTGATTTTCACATTTGGACGGCAACTGAAACCAAAATACACAAACCTATCTTTTCCTGAGGGAAGAGAGTAATGTTATTTTATGGTTCTTTCAAAACCTTAACCTCTGTTGAATTTATTGCTTTTCGTGGCACCTCAGCTGTCTCCCTTTCAGACAGAAAAGTCATCTGGCCTTAAGGAGCAGCAGATTAACTCAACAAATGCTCATGCTGTCTATGACAGTTACAAAGTATAAATTATTTAAGATTGTGTTGGACAAAAAAGCACAAAGGAAGCTTTTCTAACTCTGCTCTATTTCCTCATACATTGTTATCTTGTACTTTGATCTTTGTGAACCCTGATCTCATATGTCATCTGTTTTTGGATGTCAACACCCTCTCTTTAATTAAAGTCTTCATTGGCCAAAACAAAACACAGGCTCACACCTGTTCAGAAGTTGTGTTCGTTTGTTTGCTATATGGCTCCATGCCATTCAGACTTCTCCACGTTGAATGTGCTGCCTAAATATTAATAGGTCAGACCAAGAAAGGGTGTGCTCACGATCTTTACAAAAGTGGCCGGGGTTTTCATTCTGACACAAAGCCAACACATTCATATGCCCTCAGATAAATGAAAATGAATGTCTGAAAGACGTTATGAACACACAAAACTCCCCTTTAGAAAGACAATTACCTCGTGTCCACTTAGTGTCAAATTCAAGTAGTAAAAATTTTATGCAGCTGTTGAGACGTATTATATTTCTGAGAATTAAGACAAAATGACTTGATGACGCTTTCTAACATTTATTTTATTTGATCGTGTTCTTGTTTCCTCCACACGTAGCTCCCAACCCTCCATCAATAAGAGACGAGCTGTGCACCGCCTCCCACGACACCATCACTGTTCACTGGACGTCTGAGGACGAGTTCAGCGTCACCTCCTATGAGCTGCAGTACACGATCTACACAGGCCAAACAAACTTCATCAGTGAGTAACACACACTCAATAGAGGGGAAGAGTAAAGAACAAGGCAGAGCAAACTCATTGGACATGATGCTGTCTCACAGTAACAAGGTCCTAGGTTCAAATCCACCATGTTCCAGGTTTCAGTGTTCTCCTCACGTCTCTGTGGGCTCCCCCTGGATATTCCAGCTTCCTCTCACAGAACGAAGTGGGGTTAGGTTATTTGATGATCCTAAATTGGTTGTCTGTGTTAGCCCTGTAACAGATTAGTGACATGTCAGGGGTCTACCCTGCCTTCCAACCACCCTGAATTGGATAAGTGGAGATTATGGATGAATGGATGCTAACTGAAACTGAGCAAAACTTTAGGAGTCCCATGGATTTTTGCATTCTCTCACGTAGAACCATCCACAGTTACTTTCTCCCCCAACCATTTTTCGGATGAGAGGGGACAGCTGACATGCTGCAATAGTTTTAAATCAATTTTATTGGCTGACTTTTTACTAGTCCCCCACATCTGAAATGAATCTGGTGCCACTGGCTGTCACATAGCCCTCCCATTGTTTATGCGTTTCTTTTCATGCGCTGTGCATGATGCACTTCACTTGACTTTGACAACTTCTCTTCGACTGCAGTTCTATGGACCACTGACTGCACGATATTTTCACGGACTGCTTCCGCTCAGGCTGTTCATTCTGTTGCACTTCCTTCCTTTTGCTGTTGCCTAGCCACCAGCTCTAATTTCTTCTCCATTTAGTTGCATCCTCAATTACAGCCCGTGTTTGTAGCCTGGAATTGTGTGACCCTGCTGCTGTTGTGGTGTTATAAGAATCTTCTAGTTTTTATCATAAAATATATATAAAATGTACATCTATCTACACAGAAGCACTAAGCAAACCATTTTCACTGACCTCTCTTCGGGTTCAAGAAACAAAGCACTGCAATCATTTCAGCATTACTTAGTCTTATTTTGATATGTTCAATATTTTATACCAGCTGTGTTGGATAACCTGGATTTTTTTTTTTGTCTTTTTTGTTTTCCATACTTGTATTTTTAGAGAGATGGAGCTGAGTTATCAAGAGTACTCATTATAAAATAGGCCATACAGTGCATACTGTAACACAAGGGGATGCCTGAGAGAGAATCACATATTTGTTTAAGCAGTGTGAAAACTCAGCAGACACAAAAACTGAGGATCATAGCTTCACAGTTTTAACCTTCCCCATTAATCCTCAATACCCCAATCCCTATATGAGTACCATATTTTTTATTTCAGGGCTGTAACAGTACAATGTACTTGTGATATTTCCCAAACATTTATTCTGCTAGCAGATCAAAGTCGGCAAGAATCAAACAGATTTAATCTAACTAAACACGACCATGATGAAAGTGTTTTGCTTTCAGTGCTTTTCCCGTTAGATATGAATTGCAATTACTAGAGGTGTTTTATAATAGAACAGAGATCATACTGCAGTTTATAAGAGCAAATGCTTAGTTTTCAGAGCAAATTTCAATCCACTATCACCGTCACGTGGCTGACTCAGCAGGCTCCTAATTCTAGTATTAAAATCTGAAATATTACCTTCTTTTCCTGGCAGCTTTTTCTTGACCTCATCTAAAAACATCATGAGATCAAGTAAAGGCTCAATGACAGGTGTGTAGGAGAATTGGTGAGGATTTAAAATGTGGTGCACAGAGTATCGGGCTGCACTTGCAGTAACAATGTCACGCCAAATGTGCGCCATGTTGAACCTGCAATGTTGAGAAGATGGCCAAATAGGCGAGAAAAACTAATGAAAAACATCTTTATTACAAAGGCTGGACTTTTACGGCCGGTCCTCACCCTGAATGTTTAGAGCCAAGCCCTAAATAATTCTGCTCCTGAATAATAAAGGTACCAAAAAAAAGCAATGCACACATTTCTGTATATGGTACTTTAACACTATCTTCATTAACAAATGGAGGGCTCTGGATCTGATGACAGATAATATTTGGTCTTCTTCTACACGTCACACAGTTAAGCTGTTACGCACAGATTTCAGGTCTATACACTGGAATACTTTATAACAACTCACGTCTCCAGCTGACTCTCAACCTGCAGCACCACAAACAGGCAACATCAATTTCTATCAGAAGAATTATCCCTTGTATCAAAAACATATTGATTCTCCTTTTGCCTCCTCTCAGTAATCTGAATTGCCGTGCCGTTATCAGTGAGAAACGCATACTTAAGACCCGTGCTCAGACTGTATTATTTAGGTTAGCAGATTACATGCTTCCTCATCAGGACTGCTGGTTTTTGAGCCGCTAAGTTGCGCTGCTCTTGGCAGAATGGTAGTTATTATCAAAATGAACTGGCTGCATCTTTGTAAGTAGCACGCTATCAGTAGATCACCCTGCAATCACACTAATTTGACCTGCTTAGCCAATAAAGTGGAATAAAATTTATTTTCCTGCTGAGGAGCGCAACTCCTTTCCAGCTCCTTGGAAAGGACCCAAATAAAATTCCCTTCATCCATCCATCACAATCCCAGCAATACAGCAATGGACGTTACCAATGCAAACTGAGTTTTAAAGAAAATTAAACACATTTTGATGAAGCTCATTATCTTGAGAGCGTGCATTCTTCATGCAAGAACATGCAAGACTTCATACGACTCTTTGACAAGCAGCAGATTTTTATTACAGCAGCGACACAGTCATAGTTCACCAGTGCATTTAAAAGGATCTTTTTAAAAACTCAAAGTACATCAGTAGGTTATGGTATGCAATAGAACATGTACTTACTTTTAACATTTAGCTGATCTGCACCACTTTCTCAATTTTGATAAGTGTGTTCATGAACATTGAGATGATGCATCATTTCCTCTCCTTCTATTAAAGATGATCCAGTGCATCCTCTGCTAAAGGAGGTAATAAAGGAAGCAATGAAGCTACTTTTCTTAGTATTTGTTTCATTTGGTCACCACACAGCTACTTCTGGGTCACTTCTCTCATTTAGGAACCAGGACTCAGAGCACAGGTCTTCTTTTTCTTCTTCTTCTGAATCTTTTTTACACGTTACAGAAAATTTAAACACGGTCTTTCCCTTCATAACATTATTGGGCAATTTAAGTGCACATATTCAAATGTCTTTATAGCAAAAGACAGCGTGGCAGTAAAATGATGCAGTGATAAATTATGACACTATTGCCAGTAAAAATCTACATATTGGGACACAGGCAGAAATTATGCTTATTGTTTTATTTTCTAATTAGTTTCTAATCATTAGCTCTGTGACTGACTTGTTATAATGCTACTAGCAAATGACTAAAATTTGAGGCATTAAATATAAATGTGTATTTTAAGGGGGTTTGAATGTTATTTAAAACATGTTAGTATTCAAGTGAGCAGTATTCAGTTTTTTGACATTTAAATGCAGAAATATATATATTATACCGTAGAATGACACAAACATAATATTCCTAAATGGGATTTTATGCATTTGTCTCCATCTAGCTTTTGTTTTCTAATCAGCACTATAACCGAATGGCTATCGCGACGTAAATGAAGTGAAAGAAAGGCCACTGCCAAGGAGAAAACAAACGGATGGACTGGTGAAAATCAGAGTGGATAATGGGTACATAGGGGAGGTGAAAACCACTTACTGATATGAGAAGGATGTGATTAATGTACATAATCGTGCACATTCAAGCACATACGCACACAAATACACACACAAACACCTGTGCCTCTCTAATCTTTTCATCTCCTCTTCTCTCTTCTCCTCTATGTGGCCTGACATTTCTCCATCTAACCATGCAACTCAAGTGCTCTAGCCATTTGAAACATCAGGATACATTTCAGCTATGATAGACTGAGTGACTCAGATATTCAGCCGTGTGCTGCCACAGAGTCCTTAGAGATTCGTAGGAGAAACTGAGAAATGGAGAAATCCATTTAGCCCAGTTTGCCACTTGAGTTTTTACCATAGTATTTTTCTCTAACTTTCCAAGTGGCTAAATGCTCCCACTTGAGTGCCATCCTGTCTCTCTCCTTTTTCTCGCCTGGCCACATCTTCAGACTTGGCCTTCCCATGAGGAGGAGAAGTGGGGTTGTGGTGCCTTGTGAACCCTGCCTTTGCAGGATCATCCAAGCAAAGCGGCAGAAAATAGAATCAGCAAGTGAAACCAAATACCATCTTGTGTGTGGCTGCTACCTGTGGCCCTCTGAAAGTTGTTGTGTCTAGTGCTGTTGACGAATGCGGTTGCCATCTGCCAACTGGCATCATGAATTATCCAGTTACACATTTACTTCCTCATAAATATTTGTTTTTCCATCTTGATTTTTAACCAGATTTGACTGTGAAAGTCTGCATTATCATTTTGAGGCTTGTCTGTGTATTTCTGTTGAGGCTCTTAAACACACTTAGTTGTACGCTATTTTATTTTATCCGTTTTCATTATATACTACAACCTTCTAATGTCATAACACCTTGGAAAATATTGAGAGAATCATGTCAGGACATTGCTGTTGCCTGTTCTCACATATAGCACCCATCAGCAACTCTTAATGCTTCAAGTGACGCCGTGCATGCCAGAGGCAGAACACGCAACACTCGTTGGCATGCTGTGAAATCACAGAACAGTTACTTGCTTTATTCTCACAGACGCACGTAAAAACATTTAATTACCTGTTCTTATGTACAGCTTGGGCAGTGTCAGGAAAGGTTCAGGGCTACAGAACATGGGTAAAACAGCATAAAAGGTCATAATAGATTTGCCATAAATGATCTTTTTACAGATATTTAGACATTTAGTATAATTCAATTCAGTTTTATTTATATAGCGCCAAATCACAACAACAGTCACCTCAAGGTGCTATATATTAGACCCTACAATAATACATACAGAGAAAAATACAATAATAGTATGAAAAACTCCCTTTTAACAAGTAGAAACGTCCGGCAGAACCAGGCTCGTGGAGGGGTGGCCATCTGCCGCGACCTGTTGGGGTGGGTCCTCATATTCCACATAATGCTGCTTTGCTTTTTAATAGTGTAAATAAATATCTGTCTTCTTAGAAAATAGGTAGTTAGTACCTTAGCATAGAGCCAGCTTAGTTTTTTCTAGTCTTTATGCAAAGCCTTTTACACCTTGGCTCTATCATCTGTGTGTACAGGAGAGTGGTATTAATAACTAATTATGAGTACAAAAACAAGTAGCTGTATTTCCTAATACACTTTCTTTGCGATATGAATAATATCTACCACAATTACACTTGCCTAAAAAGAAATGCAGCATCCGCTTTGTTTGGGAGTAGTAATTTCCTTCTTTCCCTCTGCTTCCATCTCCGCATGACATCAGCCACTTTCCCCGTTCCTGTCGCCGGTTTGTACTGTGTTTCTGGGAGGCCTGCCTGGTAATCGCGCTAGCAATATCTGCCTGCTGTCTCCCTCCGCCACCTGTTATTCATGTGTGCTCGTAAACATTGCCTGTGGTGAAATATTAAAATGATTATCACAGGTTAGAAGCAGATTCACAGTGGGCGCAAGGGAAGCCCAAAGTGCAGGGGTAAAAAATTGCGCTTTGTGCATCTCAATAGGGAACAGTTCTGAGATTGATCCACACCAGATCAGTCTTAGAAGTGATATAATACATTAAGAGTAAATGGCGATGAGATTTCAGTCACTGTTGAAGGCCAGTCAGACAATATTAACCTGTACAAGTAAAGTAAGATGAGCACACACACACACACACACGTATAGGGCTGTTTTATAAGAAATGAACAGAGGACTAAGACATACCCATGCAAGGACACAGTGAGACACACGCTGTCACCATTAACTTTATATTGCATCATCAAAGACAAACCCTATTGCGTTCCCCAGATATTTCATGTTGCTCTTCCCTTCTCGTCTGCCTGCTTCCGAGAAAACGGTGACACAAACAGATGCACAGACATATTGTACATATACATACACAAGCTCTTGATGTCTGGATGCACAACACAAGCTGATCTACTTCCTCTCTGTAGTCCCTCGCTTTCTCTTTCCCAAATGGCTCATTCACACACACCGCCACCATACTTTGTAGCCACGGTGCTTTCCAAAGCTAGTGTCAAGAAGCTCCTTTCATTGGTAAAAGTAGCAATAGCATATTGCTGCGCACTGACCTAATTTTATTTAGCAAAAATGGAGAGGTGCTATAGAGATCAAAAGCTTTAAAAATGAAAAGCAGCGTGAAGTCCTTCTCTCTCATCTTTCCCATGTATCTCTTTCTGAAAGCCCACGTAACACTGTAGTCTACCTAATTTCTGCAGGATGCAGCCAAAACGACAGGTGGGTGGCATAAATTTTATGACAACAAGGGACAGCTGTCACAGCAGAACAACAGTCTTGATTTTCTTTTCTTTTTTTTCGAGTGAAACAGCAATAGGATTTCATTGTTAACAGTGCATGCATATTTGCAAATCTAGGATGAAATAAAACACATTTGCATGTAAAATGGATCGTGTACCTGGTGTAAAGGTGTAAATTAGGTTCTGTCATATTAAAGGAAGACGTGTCGCTTGTGCTTTCTTTGTCTTAGAAAAGCTTGTGTAAAAAATGTAGCCCCAACTCCCACTCCAGCCTTAAGAGTCCTCTCCCCTCATTCATTCTTAAAGGCACCTCACTTTTAAAGGCCTTATTTGCGTCCTGTGAAGTATTTATATTTACAAGCAGACTCTCAGCCATTACTTATGCATGCTGTTTCCATCTTACTCAATAATTCACAATGCATCCTCACCAGATGGGACAAGGTAAGCATGGCCCAGAGAACTCTCTCCCTTTCCGTGTTTTTTATTTCCTTGTAATTTTGCTTTGGGAGGAAGGATGAGACAATGAAAAGGGTGGTTATTCTACTTTCAACTCTACAAATGTTAGGCTCAGCTGTGGTTCTACTAAACAAGATGCTTTGTTGGTTTTGGCAATGGCTTTTGGGGGGTTTTTTGTCGTTGTTTTTTGGATGTGTTCGTAATTTCACAGTTCTTTGTATAAACTGCCTCTAAAATGTTTGCCCATAAAATAGAATTTCTGTATAGTCTCCAGTTGGCACATCTTGGATTTATTATTCATGCTGTCAGTTCATTCATTTCATTTTAGCTATTGGCGTTATTAATACACTCGTGTTGTTCACGAAACCATGAAAGAGTGATCAGTTTTTGGGTTTCTGTTTTTTCCACGTCCTGTATGATAGCCTTTGGAAAAGGTACGCAATATAACATGTCACGCAATATAACATGTTCATGCATAAAGCGTAAGCACAGCAGCTCCAAACTTGGCCTGTTTTGCAATATCCATTTTGCATAAATCGGCAATCCTCCCCTAAAATCCTCCAAAGCAGCTGCATAAATCTCACCTTGTGTTCAAAGTTGCCTATTTCATCTTTGAAATCAGGAAACATACCTTGATTACCATGAGAGTGGTAGGTCAGGTAATTGTGCGATAACAGTGATTTTAATGTGTTAAATCAATCCAGTTATTTCACGCTAGAGAAAAGCCAAAGGAGCACCCCATTGTGGGCGATCAACTCTTTAGCTCACAGCCGAGATTTCCTTTTTTTATCCTTCACAGTCGGCTACATCTCAGAGACTGAGAAGACTGTGTTTAGAAGCAGGTGACTGCACAGCTTAACTGGCATTACCAACTCTATACTGCAAGCTGCTTTAAATCAAAGTGCCCACCAAATAGGGTCATGTTGTTACTGCCTGTGTTTCCATACAATTGAACATTAAAGGCAATGACAGTCTTTTGCCTTGAGGCGCTTACTTCAGAGATTTATATTGTGAGTACCTTGTTCGTAATGGCTTATAGTTTTAGCTTAGTGAACGCACAATATTGCCTCAGGGGAGTTTGTCATGCTAAACCTGATGTAAAAGTACTGTAATGGGATGGATTAGTATGTAGACATAAATGTTGCATAACATGGAGAGCCGTGTGGTCTCTGAGCTCCTTATTTGGGTGGGGATGACTCACTTGGGGGCTTTGAGGAAAAATAACCCTCCTCTGGTCGGAATTGAGAACAGATTTTACTCTTTTGAACATCACTGAAAAAAAGGTTCTTAGCAGGACACACTAACTCTGCTTACCTTAAAAGCGGCAACATAACCTTGTTACTAATGCTGTGTGTACTTGTGTGTGTCTCTGTGGCTCTGCCAGGCTTGTACAACTCTGCAGACAGCTGGATGATCGTACCTAACATCAAGCAGAACCACTACACGGTGCACGGCTTGCAGAGTGGCACCCGTTATATCTTCTTCGTCAAGGCTATCAACCAAGCAGGAAGTCGCAACAGTGAGCCAGCCCGCCTCAAAACCAACAGTAAGTGAAGGCACACATTACACTTCTGCCAGCCTTTTCATGAATATTTACAAGCCGTGTTATTTGGGTTTGGATATTTAATACAGCTAAAAGTTTGCATCTCTCTCTGTATCATATGTGCAACATAATGTTGTCACGACTGAGTGTTTTTCCCAAAGGATTGTCTTTGATTTACAAGTGAGTGGCAGATTTGCTGTTGATTCAGAGCTAGTTTAGATTATTACATTGTATATGCATGCATGAGAGGAGAAAGCAGCAAGAGTGCCAGCAGTGCCTAATGTATTTCTGTCACAAACACTCACTCACACTCAAAGCAATTCACTGTAGGCCATGCAATCTTCACTGAATAATTTTAGTCTAAATGTATGAACAGTTAAAGAAAAAACAAAAAGTATAATGTAAAAAAATTTAAAGGCATATTTCCAGAAGGTAGGCTTTCATCATTCTCTGATGTGGAGAATCAAAAAGTTGACAATTTTTCAACAAAAAGTATTTATGTCAAAAATGTGTTTGGACATTTCTTGAGTAGACATTTGATATTACGATATGTAATATAAGTGCAATTTCAAAAAAGTTGGTACTGTGCAAAATGTAAATATAAACAGAATTTAATGGTTTGCAGACCTCAGAAAACTATATTATATCAACAATACAACATGTTAATATGTTTGGTGTGTTGACGCCATCAATTTCAAGAAATTGTAAACACTGTAAAAATGGAAAATTATGGCTTTATGACTGTACGTGTACATGCATATGAGTCACCTAGCTTAATTGTACTCGGAATAGAAGGAGCCTGGAAAATGCTTCATACCTTCCTTGGTCAGTAGCGACTTGTTGGCTGTACATACAGACTTCATATATACATACGCTATGATGATTATCGTAAGATCTAAAGTTAATCTCTGACTACATCGTCCATCAGCACAATACCACTACAAATTCTGCAAAATGACACAAAAAGTATCCTACATGGATAATGCTCTAGTAATAACACCACAGCTAGTGTGATGGTAAGATTAAAAGTATACTGGGATATGGGTAAGGAATCCTCACACACTTATTTTAGCTTATAGAGTTCACATCCTGAATGGTTCGTACATAGAAGAGAGAATTGTAACGTTTACTTATCACATTTTAGCCAGTTTTTGTCAGCATAGGTTTACTGTTATCACCCTCTCCCCACCAAAAAGTGTGTATTTAAGTTACAAGTATGTGCATACTTACTTTTTGAAGTATGTACATACAGTACTTTTGGTAGCAAGACCCTTGACAAGTATTCTGTGCTTTGACACACATTAAGGTGTACAAGTAGCTGAATTAAATAAACTGTGCACGAGAGAGCTTTTCCACGTTTTTCCTCTCCTACACACCTGTCAGATTACAGTGAGTTGTGCAACAGTACAACTTATTTTTACCACTGCAAATGTTACAGGGATTAAGCCTGCAGTACTCTGAGCACCAGCACCTCTGTCGCCAGTCTGTCGCAGAACTGATATGGCATCCTCCCTTCTTCTATAGATGTACTCATTTTGCTCTTACCGCGTACACAGCAGTTGTTTTTCCTGCTTGGAGAAATTTCCACTGTTTTTACAAGACTGTTTAATTGTCGTCCTTCAGATTCTTTGTTGTTTCTCTTTTGTTTCTTTTCTCCTGTTTTCTCCCTGAGGTAGAGATTGCTGCTGTCAAAGCTCGCCTCTGACTTGAACTATTTTCCATTGCTTTAACATGCTTCTTTTTCCCTGTAACAGCACAAGCTAGTAAAAAAAATGCAGTTTTTAAGGTTAGCTAAATGTGAGCAAATAAACTTCATTAAACCGCTGATACTCTTTGGGGCATGTAAGGTTAGAGTCAACTTGAAGAGATAGAATAGTCTTAAAAATGCTTAACTCCTTTGGGACATGGGGGAAAAATATTGCCTTGCCAAACATTATGATGTGGTCACTGGTTAGAATTGCATGGGAACATAATTAAATTGTGACCACATTTTAACAATGCATGGCCACAACAGAATGTGTTGTTTACTGACCACACTGGATCAAGTCTGTGCCACTAAATAGACATTGTTAACATTTACTTGTCAGTACACTACACCAGGTCCAGTGACAAAACTAGTGACAAACACCACAGAGGTTATTTATTTGTATTTTAAAATAAACCACTATCCGTAGTTTGTAAGTAGCTGTTTCTGTGTGGTTCCTGCTGATTTTGAGTGATTATTGTGAGTGGTCTAAACATTTATTCCAGATAATAATTTTGTGTACTGACAGTCTTGTTTAGTTTTACACCTAGATCTGATTCAGTGTTCTCCAGCAGTCTGGATTTATTGATGGATTCTGTGACTATTTTTTCCTTTGCTGAAGTCTTACAGCACCAACCTCTCTGTAATGTGGGGCTTCTTGGTTGCACTGCAAGCTACAATGAATGTCAAATTTAAGTCCCCTCTAGAGGCTCCCATATCAAGTGATAAGGTAATATGTTAGTGCTGCTTGACAACAACCATGATGAATATTGCAGGGTATCATCATAATTTATCACTAGTTCAACTCAAAGATGAATCATTCTTAACATTCCTCTTTTAAAAACAGTAAAAGAGACGTCATGGCTGTATCTACAAAGTCACATCACCCACAGTCTATTTTGCGGGAATATTCATCAGGTTCAGCTGTGGCATATAATAAGTTAAAACCTCAGCGATATCGCTAATTTAGGATGTGCCCCAGGGGTGCTCAATAAAATTTTAAAATCAGTCTAAAATTGCAGCCGAAGTGCAGTGAAGCAAAAATGCAGCTGATATGCCAGCTCATTTCAGCCTATGCCGGGAGTGGTTTTTAGGATTAACTGTCATCAGGATACACTTGGAATATATAGGCATAGTTAAGGTTTGAACCTTTTTTACTTTATGTCACTGATTTAACATATTTTAGTATTAAGTATTCGTCTTAGCAGGCTTCTAGAAAGCACTATCACCCTCCTCACCAGCATATCCTTTTTTCCACTGTATGAGATACTGCCATCTGGAAATTTCCCAGTTTATTTCAGTTGAGTAAAGCTTTATTGACATGATATGGTCAGAGATTGTCTATTGACAGTTTACAGTAATCTTTTTATAATACATGAAATCTGTTTGTTTGTCAACTCTTCCTGCATGATCAGGAGTTGAGCAAGGCTCCCTGAAGGTTCTCATCTATATCAGAAACTACAACATCAAGCGTGTTGCCTAGCAACCACTTACCAACAGGCTAAAACAATCCACTTGTTGAGTTTTGAGTTTATGCACTTTCAGAGACTTATAAAAGCATACAAGGATTTTTATTTCACAGCAGTGACATTGAGATATGATGTGATCATGTTGCCTAGCAACCTACCAATAAACTAAAAAGACCCAAATATAATGTGCATACACAAATACCACCTCAGGAAATCATTTTTATTTTGCGACAACATCTAATTTTTTCATTATGCATCATGTTGCCTAGCAAACACCTATCAGTGGGCTAAAATCACAGTCTAAACTATACTGTACTACACATAGTGAATAATTTTAAAATACCTATATTTAAACAATAGTGTACTGACTACATAAAAAGTTGTGATATATGTAGTAAATACTGGTTTTATGGTTGACATTAAAGAGAATCACGCCTGGCTTTACTAATAAATTGAGGTCAAATGCATTATGTATATTATATAGAAATATGTATACTCTTAACCGTATGAACAGAATAGTAAGTCACCATGAGCTCTCATGTAAGAAACAGTCAGACCTACCGACACATAAACGAAATCTCTGTCCATTGCCTATTACCATACATATTTGCCACTACAGCGTAGTGCAAGATAGCACATTACATGACAAAGTATATCATATGCATTAGTATAATGCACTACATAGGCTAAAGCTGTAGTTTAGTGCAATATTGAACGATTTTCTCTCTCCCCCTCTACCCCCACGCTGTCATTCTTCCTCTCCTCTGGCAGCCTGTGCTATCAGGGGAAAGAAGCTTGTCCACCCACAGCCAACAGTGGTTGAGATTCTGAGTCGGTGATTGGCAACCAGCATTTCGTTCTGCTGTAATGGTTTAGACAAGCCATCAAAATAACAAAAAACATTAATATTTTTATCCATGATTGAGGTTTTGTGGTTTTCATTATGACACCTGTGTTTGTGTCAGCCTCTTCACATGTTTTTGTCCCTCATTCTCCCTCTCCTCTCCCACTTTATTTTTGGCAGAAGAATTGGTATTGAGATTACAGAGCCTCACTCATCTGTTCTGGTGAAGTCGAATAGTGATTTTGGATTAAAATGGGTCACAACAAAACCGATCACAGATATCTCACTTTGACAAGCTTATTAGAGTTTTTTCCTTCTGACTCTGCTGCTCTGTGGGCTCAAGTAGCAAGCTTTTGAGCTCAGAACTTGCACTTGAAGTCTCTTTTTTGTCTGTGACTAGATTGGAAGGTTTAGCTGTCTCAGTATTTTAGGATGAGAGGATCTGGGGGCTTTTAACCTAAGATCATCATATTTCAGGCAGAGGGTTGCAAGCAAAGAGCATTTTGACATGTAGCACTACCAGATACTATAAAGTCATGCATCACAATTCTGCCTTTTCAACAACATGACTCCTTAAATTGCTGCAGATCATATTTGGGATTGCAGCAACTCTCAAACCTCAAAACAAGGTGAATTCCCGAAGATATTGATAGTTTTAATAATTATAACAATTCTAATTTATGAACTGAAACTAACAAATATGGTACACAGAGTCAGAGAGCCTAACTAAATGTGAACAAGTTTCCTAATAAGCACAGATGTTGACTTAATCGCAAGCAAATAAACTGAATAAACTCGTCTTATTTGACCTCAGAGGACACAAATTGCAATTTAATGCAAAGCACTGAATGCATAAGGAAATGATTAATATATTACACCAATTACCATCACAAATTCTAAAAGACATTTTATGGGAGCTGATCGTGTTAAAATAAAGTGAAGGAAT